GCAATTAATCAGCTTAAGAAGGGGGCTGAGGTAATGATGCTCTCGGCTGAGCTTATGCGCGATCGGATAGCCAGCCTTGAGAAGGCGAACGAAGCCGCAACAAAACGTAGACAGCGTAAGAAGAAGCGGATACAGAAGCAAGGAGTGCTAACAAAGGGAGCTGGAGAAGATCTACTCGCTCAGCGCGAGGCTGATCAGCAGATTGCTTATGAAGAGCGTCAAGGAGGAGAGCGATCAGGTGTCAACCGCCAGGCTCTAGCGCGGTGTAGCAGGTGTAGAGAGACTGGCCATAATTCGCGTACATGTAAGAAAGATGCTTTAGATAGTGTTTAATCCACTATCTTAATATATATAAATTTTATTTAGTTGTGGTAAAACTGTACACGTAAAGAGGTGCGCAAAGTTGGTGGGGTGGCCCGCTCGCTTGTATGGCCCGCTCGCTTGTAAAACACGTTAGTCTATTAAATAGATTAGTCTTGTCAAACCCTCCTTAAGCACGCCAACTCCACTGCATCGCCAGACAAGCCTCACGGAACACTAACGTAATACTCACCTGCCTTAGTGCGGACTAGGATAGAGAAGTATAGACCCATACCCCGTGTAACAGTTGCGTGGCTAGTAGGCGCTAACCTGCTTAGCGCCGTACGCAGCTAGCAGCTTATCAGCTATATCACGCACAGCAGCGTAGGTAGGCGAAAATCTACGTAGATCGAGATCAAGTATATAATCCACTATCACCTCCTCTTCTAGCTTAGTAAGCTTCTTTGAATTGGGCTGGCAATCGCGCCGGGCAGACATGCCAGCGCGTCAGCGGCGGAGCGTCGCTTCAGATACGTTATAGACTGCAGTAGCAGAACGATTACTTTAAATTTATTTAGTATTAATACATAAGATAGTAAGTTGAATATCTGCTTCATTTAACTGTAATTAAGTAATCTGACGTGGAGCCATTTTGGGTTAAGAGATGGGAGGTGTGCAAAGTTGGTGGGGTGCGTCACTCGCTTGTACGCGTCACTCGCTTGTAAACTACGTTAGAAGTTGTTAAACCTTTTCTTATTATTGCTCTAAGCACGCCACTCCACTGTATCGCCAGACAAACTCTCGCCCTAGGTCTAGATGCATTGAATAAATGCTGGTTTTGACCTACAACTGAATGTAGAAAAACCCCACTTACCTATAAGACGCTAAAATACCATAGAGTTTTATATGACTTCTGGAAGGCCAAGAGAGAGGCTGTAACACACTATGGTTTTCAACTATGGGAGAGACTGAAGAAGATGGGAAGGAGCTGGCGGTATGGCTGCGCAAAGCTGATAAAGTCGTACCAAAAGAACGGTTTCGTAAGACAGTTCACTGCTTCCAGAATAGATATTAATAGGTAGCAGAGTCGTGGCCAAACAGATTATAATATGTAAAAACAAAACGAGGAGCAACGTACGAAGAAACCTTTTCGCCGACGCCGATATCATGCAAGTTAGTCAAGTAGTAGGTAGTACTAAGAGTGCTAGTGACTAACAGATGGAGCTAAGCAACAACGTGCTACAATTAATAATAAACTTAAGCGCATCCAAACTATACAATACATTATGTAATATAGATTGATTGTTTAGATCTGCTAGAGATCCGGCCTATGTAGTATCTACGTTAGTACATACCTAGAAAGCACTGCCCCATTAGCGGTAACTTCTCTATATACAGAGAAATCTTCTATAAGCTAAGGATATCCTGTGTTACAAGGGGTTGGGTGCTGATACTTCTCTAGGCTCGATCCGGGTTAGAGCGAGTAGGGAAAGGTGTATAGCCCCGTGCTTCGGTATTGGTGAAGAACATGCTAAGGCTTCATAGAATCACGGCAGATAAATCAAACACCCTATCTAGCATTCTAGCGTTGAAAGACATACGGCTGGTTGTGGAGCCTGGCCAGCGTGTTGCTATCTGTGGTCGTTCTAGTAGGTATATGCGAACTCCAAGAATATTAGTCTTTTTTCTGCAAGTGGCAAAAGCTGAATTAAGATTTGTTTCACAAGTTAGCGGGAAGTCGTCCCTGATACTGCTTCTACTGGGCTTACTCGAGCCGTTACCAAGCACGAGCTCCAATTCCATCTTTATTGATGGACTCGAAGCACTTACTGTCAAACAAGCTGTGTTACCAGAACGTATTATCACTGTTTCTCAAGACCCTATCTTTCTTCCACCCAGAACATCATGGCAGGAAAACCTAGATCTACTCGGGACCTGGACGGCGACAGAAATACATTCAGTTCTGGAAGACATGAACCTTTGGCCTTTGGTCAATAGTCAAGGCGGACTAGAAGCAGCTGTGAAACCTGGGGAACTCAGCCCGGATCAGAAACAGCTATTTAGCGTTGCTCGAGCGGCTTTGAGAAAGATTGCAAAGGACAGAGAGCTACAATTGACTGATACAGTCGAAGTGCCATCCACCACTCAATCGCATCCTGAAACTAATGTACAGGAACGTAAAGAAATCAGGTCGCACAGTCATACAGTGGAAGGCAATTCCGAACCATACTACTCGTCTCAGCCTAAGCCATCCAACCACTCGTCTTGCGACAGCTCGAGGCGACGTACTAGGGGGTATTTTACCACTAGATGAATTCGATTCATCTATGGATTGGGAAACGGAAAAACAAATTTTGGATATTACATAGCTTTTATTTCTTGAATACACAGTCATTGCGATCACGCAGAGTCTAGTAAGTTTTGTAAAGAATCGAGATAGCGAAAAAGATAGAGAGGCAGATGCGTATGGAGAAGGGTTCTTCAATCGCATGATTGTCTTAGATTCAGGCGAGATAGTTGGGGACGGTCATCCGAAAACTCTCCTAAAGACAACTGACTCGAAATTCCGGGCCCTGTGTGAGGCTGCCGCAAGGGGGGATGTCAACACCTAAAGGTCTACTACTACCACCTGCTACGATCATTTACCTAACAAACCAATGTAAAAAGGCTTGCTATTTGCTATATTTCATCTAGATGGTTTATATGATGACGGAGTAATATATTCTATATCCATTAATGTAACAACCTTGTAGAAACCGCATTAAAAACAATCGCAGCGTTAACGCGCGACATACTAACCACGATGGCCCTTAAGAAGGGTAAAATAGAAGTGTTTAGATTTTTCAAGTCATAAGAATGATCCAATTACCTCCAGCTTATAATAACAGCATTTGCAACTATCCGATGCACGCTCGAAGTTATTAGGGTCGTGTAGGCCTAAGTGTGAGTTACAATAAGCAACTTACTTAAAAGATTTGTTTCAGTTCTTCATTCAAACAAAAGCCATAACTGTCTCTCAACCTATTATGTACTATTACTACTTGTATGCTTCATGCATATTTTGAAACAATGTGCAAAATAATTATTTGATTCTGACCCTGTTGATGAGCTGCTGAATAGTTATATGATGCAACAGAAGATTTTTTGAGATTTTTTATAGCGGTCCTTCTGCAAACTGTTGCAATATACGTGCCCTTAATGACTTTCCTATCTTATTATACTGTATAGCATCTACAAAGATAATCTAGCAACGGTTAATGTCAGTCCGTGATCAATAGCACTGATGATGGTAGGAAAGACATGTGCTTACCTTTCTAGGGACTTTAAGACCTGATAGCTTAGATCTCATAAGCTGCTTTAAATCTTTCTCGGTGTTTTCGCCTTTCTCGCAATCAGAGTGGAGCTTGACAGCTAGACCTGATATCATAGTAAGCTTTCTTAAGCGCAGAATGCTGTTCTTTGTCTCTACAAAATGAAAGGTCAAAATACATACCAATTTCTTCTCCATACATAACACGAGTGATGCGAAAACATACGGCATCCAGAACTAGCTCGTGCGATAAAGCTGCATGTTCAATTTCGCTGGGTCCTATCTTCACACCTCCTTTGTTTATTACTTCCTTCAGCCTCCCCACAAGTGTGAGCTGGCCTGAGGGTCGATAGTTCCTAGATTACCAGTGCGAAAATAACCGTTGGGAAGGAATGCGTCGGCGTTTGCTTGAGGATTGTCGATGTAACCAGCCATCACGTTCTTACCACGTACGCAGACCTCCCCTATGACATTCGACTCTTTGGTCATTTTGAAGTTGGTGTTTTCTTCTGCTTGTGACAAACCTTCATCATCGGTTTCGCCGTCCGGCAAATTGCTGGACACAAGTATGATCACGTTGCAGCATCCGCAGTCGGATAGTGGCTTCTTTGCCTTTCTCCCGCACATTTCTTGTCAAAATGGCTACAAAAGATTGCTGGACCTGTTTCTGTCATACCGTAGACTTCCAACAACGGTATGCCTAATGCCGTCACTGCTTCGTACAAGTCTGGTGTCATCTCGCTAACCCCCAGACCTTAGAAACCTCAGTTTAGGAGGTATGGAAGTGCGAGGAAATCTTAAAAATAATAGACAAAAGGTAGGAACGACGTGAAACCAGGTGATATCGTAAGGGAGTCGACTAGAAATAGACGCCTATTGAATCAGCAGCGCCAACACTATCAACGTTGGTCCTGGTCAACCCGCACAGGTCCTCCATCGTGACTTGGGAAATTATCCACATTACCATTTGCTCGGTCCGGATAGCCCTGAGACACAATTCACACTCTTTATTATAACCGTCGTTTTTACTAACGCTAATAGTGCGTCTCGAATAATCCCTGGTAGTCAGAAGTGGCCCTTCGACAGGAAATGGAGCACTGATCAAACGATCCTAAGTGAGATAGAGGCTGATAACTGCTTGCTATTTGGAGGTAAAGTAGTTCATAGCACTGGCGCCAACACGACGGATTACGAGCGTGGATGTGTTGCATTTACCTATTGTGCAAACCACCTGACGCCGGAGGAAGCGCATCTGCATATTTTAAAAGTTAATGTTGTAAGAGAACTGTCCGAGCGCGCGCAGCGTAGCTTAGGGTTTCGCTCCCAGTATCCATGGTGGGCTCCAGGTCTGTGGATGGACAGTTACAATGAAGTGGCAATACGACTTGGGCTAGAAGATTTCTAAATAAGCTACAACCATTTAGCCTTTTACGATGAATATGTATCGTATCATTATTCTACTAGAAGATTCAAAAATTGTGCAGCTAATTTGTGTTTAGAAAGTGGTTCCTTTCATTTTGCAAAAGATAATTAACAGCACCACCTTACCAAACGTTAGTGCGACGAAGGTTTGGGCAAGAAACGCTTCTACAATTCGAACAATTCCCTGAAGAACTAAGGTAATAGAAAAAATATAGTTTGTACGATTCATGGATAACGTTTGAATAAATAAGAAAATGATACTAAGCAGCGTCTATGTTACTGGAATCCCAAATCCTGTGACAATCTATCATATTTACTATAAGAACTTTTTTGATATTATGCTACACTCAAGACCTGTAAAGCAGTACTACGAATCTGTTCTGATATGCCTTGGAGTTTTCTACCTATCAGTCTCTCTGCAGCATCAACATCGTAATTGACATGGTACCACTCGTAAGAACCTTTGCCTCCGAAGACTCCATTTTCCATTTTCCATAATTCTTCCGGAAACTCTTTTTGAATAATCTCCCTGACCTCATCTGGTTGGAAAGGGGTTCCCAATAGGCAAGATCGATGAGTTCCAGCATTGTATGGGAATTGTGCATCTTTGCTATGATTTAACGCTCGTACGTGGGCCTGGGCAACATCATCGACATGGCAGGAGACAGCCTCGATGCGAAGGGAGCCCCACGATTGTTTCATGAGTGCGAGACCAATGCCAAAAACATTACTACCATCCAATATATCTTCGGGAGATTGAGCAAGTCCCTTGGGGCCAAAAACATAGGTTGGCATGATGCTGACAATGTCAAAGTGCAGACTATCGGCTTTGGAGACGAAGACGTCTGTAGCATTCAATGCCGCCGTCTTGGCCGCAACATAGGCTTCTTCGCCATCATGCATCTTCTGATCAAGAGAATAGTCTGACTGACGATCGCTAGGCAAGACACGCGTGCCGGTTGCCAATGGAGAGTTATAATTGACGATTGCGGAATTGGAAGAAGTGATAACTACTCGATAAACGGAGGGGGTGTTTTGCGCGGCCTCTAAGATGTTTGAGGTACCCTTAACAGCTGGGTCGATTAGCTCCTTTTGTAAATCCTGGAATTTTCCACGATTGATTGGACTAGCAGAATGTATCACGTAGACAACATCCCGCATGGCAGAGTCGAAGGCGCCTGGTACCGTGATGTCGGGAACCTCTACAAAGGATAGCTCTGGTGCCATAGAAGAGCTTAGAATTTCTTTCACTGCTTCTGAGGACAAAATCGAACTCGATTTGCTCATAGTACGAAGAACAACCCGGACGTTGTAGCCCGCTTGGAGCGCTTCGACAAGTACAGCAAAGCCAACATGGCCAGTAGCGCCGGTAAGAAGAAGGAGACTGCTTTTGTTGCTCATGTTCAGGTTCATGTAATGAAATGGAAAAGTCGAAAAGGACGGACTGGTGAAAATTTAATCGGGTCGCTGTGTAAGATAAGAAGACGTATTGTAGTGTTGAGAGTGGCGAGTTTCTCTCGGTATTACTAGTCAGACTTTGGTAGGTCGGTATTACAAAGAGGACTTCCGAAGCTTTCGGATAACGTATTTAGACAAGCACCTAGATATTCTGCAACAAGGCATGTCCGTTGCGTCCGCTCGTCAAAACCGAAACTCTATTACATTAACATCGAACGTTCCAAGGGAGTGGCCATCCAATACCCTCAGTTGCTAATCATGTTTAACAACAAAGGTTAAATGACCACGCGATGATAAGCTATTTAACCGCGCGGTAAGCGGAGGTCTCTACCTAGCGTAGACGCTAACTATATCTATGTTATTTTACTTTAGTATGGCAAAATAATAAAATATAGAAGTGAAGATAGAGATAAAGAGGTAAAAAGGAGAGAATATCTGTCAGAATATGAGCATGTTTTGGGTGGTTGACAGAATCCGGGTGCTGACTAGAGCACCCGGATTCTGTGATCAGTCAGCGCGCACGATCCACCGCGATCTAACTCAGGGGATCAGGGCAGATCAGAATAGAACTGTCAGATTAGATGGGTCTTCAATTATGGGGTGAAAAGGAGGTGATTGTTGCTATCTCCGGAGGTGTCGCCTTGTGGCTGTTTCTCTTCTTTTCTTTTTCTTTCTTGGCCTTACGCATGAGCCTTAGACAAAGCCATATTTCTGACAACTATAGCCTTGGCGTAAGGCCAGCCACATGATCGCTACCCCGCGGCGATCTCTGTCATCCCAAGTGGTTCCTCAACCTTTTGTAGTCAGCGTCCGATAAGAGGATCCTACCTCTTGTTACAGAGGGGTGACACAAATAAAACGTAATAAGAAAAGTTATAGTTTTTAAACTATTATAACTTTAGATCTAGACTAGACAAGACTTAACGGGTTAGTGCTCTGAAAAGCTACGATCTATAAGATTTAGCAGAATAACTAGCTTTTTGCTTAGTCAGCAGTTTAAAGATAACGTGCGGGATCAGTAAGCTGGGCAGATCAGTAAGCTGGGCACCCCACCAAACTTCACCCAACGCTCTACACAACCACTACAATGCCGCGACAACAACGTTCTATACAGACTTCTCGTGAAGGCAGAATAAGCCTTGCTATCGCATCTTATCGTAATAATCCAAAACAATCTATTCGTGCTCTCGCAAAAGCCTTTGATATACCACAATCTACACTACACACGCGTATCCATGGTGTCCAGCCACGATCAGAGACAGCCTCTGTCAACCGCAAGCTATCGCCCATTGAAGAGCAGTCTCTCGTGCAGTGGATCCTAGACCTTAACCGACGCGGTTTTCCGCCTCATATCATTGACGTGCGACGGATGGCAGACGCTCTACTCGCCGCGCGTGGCCAAAATCCACCTCCAGCACCTATTGGCAAGAAGTGGGTGTCGCGCTTTATCCAGAACCAGCCAGAGCTCCAGACAAAGTGGACTAGAAAGTTTAGTAGCCAGCGCGGCTCTCTCTGAAGATCCTGTCGCAATCGCAGCTTT